GAGAGATCCCAAACCTGCCTGGCTGTGACCGTGGGCACCCTGCTGTGGGTGAGCTGCTGGAGCAGGGGGTTGGATGAGATGATCCCAGAGGTCCCTTCCCACCCCACCACGCTGGGGCTCTGGGATTCTGTAATATTCTGTTGGCCTTTTCTCCATCAACTTAGCTGCTGCTTCAGAGGTTTGCTTTGGTTTGAGCCTTACCTTGGCAGCTGGGGATCAACGTGAGACCCGGGGCTCTAGGACCTGGTGACTCCCAGCAGAGGGAGTTGGTCTCAAAGGCAGAAGCAACATTTCAGCTGAAGGTAAGGGTGGGAGGGGCCCATGCCAAGCGCTGGGGGTGGAACAGGGGCTGTCCAGGGCTGGGGATCTCACCGGCTGGATCCACAGGGATTCTTTCATCTCTCACTGGGCACCACACCCTCCCACTGCTCTGTACCACCCTGAGGGGAGCACTTTTCTGCTGCCCTGCTGTTTTGGGAGTGTGGACATCAGAGTAAGAAGGGCAGGATGACATGTAACAGATTCTTCCTGTTCACAGTCATCCTCTGGTTTAATTTGCTCCCCCCCTGTGCTGCTGGGAGTCTGGAGGACAGGGGACACTGCCTCTCAAATCTGTGTTGTGTTTCTTGGCAAACAGGGGCTGTGATGATCACACCCCTCTGCAGTTGCTGGGTGTCTGGCTTGGTCTCTTCTCCTTTCAGGCAAAATTCCCCAGGCTTTATCCTTTTATTTTTTTAATCAGGATTATTTTGTGGCTCAGGTCCTGCTCATCTTTGTCTTCTTATCTCGAGGACAGTCTGTTTCTTCCTGCTGTCCAGTGGCTTGAAGGAGCTCATTGTCCTGGAGTGCAGTGCACATGATTTTCCTGTTCCCTTTCTCATTCCCTCTGATGCATTCATGCATAGAATCATAGAATCATGCTACATCCAGGTTGGGATCACAGAGTCATGAAGGTTGCAAAAGAGCTCTAAGATCATCAAGTCCAACTGTCAAACCAGCACTCCCATGGCCACTAAACCATGTCCCCAGGTGCTCCATCCACACATTTTTTGGACCCCTCCAGGGGGCAGCCTTATCCAATGCTTAACAACCCTTTTGGTGGAAATTTTTTTCCTAATATCCAACCTAAACCTCTCCTGGTGCAACCTGAAGCCATTTCCTCTCACTCTATCACTTGTTAGTTGGAAAAATAGGCTGACGCCCACCTCATTACAACCTCCTTTCAGGTAGTTGTGTAGAGCAATAAGATCTCCCCTGAGCCTTCTTTTCTGCAGATTAAACCATCCCAGTTCCCTCAGCTGCTCCTCACCAGCCATGTTCCCCAGACCCCTCCCCAGCTCTGTTGCCCTTCTCTGGACCCACTCCAGCCCCTCAAGGTCTTTCTCATCCTGTGGTGCCCAAAACTGACGCCAGTGCTCAAGCTGTGGCCTCCCCAGTGCCCACTCCAGGGGCACAATCATTGCCCTACAGCAATTTTGATACATCCTGGCCACAGTGATTTTGATCCAGGCCCAGATGCTGGTGGCCTTCTTGGCCACCTGGGCACACACTGGCTCCTGTTGAGCCACCAGCACCCCCAGCTCCTTTTCCACAGGGCACTTTCCAGCCACTCTCCCCCCAGCCCAGAGTGTTGCCAAGGGTTATTGTGCCATTAATGTATTTCTGACAAACCTTTACAGTACCAGTGGTGTTGGTGAAGGTGACTTGACAGGAAGATTGTCTGTGAGCTGGAAGACTTGGCAAGAGTTTGTTATTTTTAGCCCAGGTGAATATCTGGTCCAGTCTTTGTATTTGAAATAATACAGTTCAAGAAAATATTTGGGTTTAAATCTACCTGCCTGTTCACAGCTGAAAAGGTTTTTTTCTGGGTGGTGGTTAGCAAATGTCACTCTGTGCTCTGCACTGAGACACCCCAAGCATTTATTTCCCTTGAAGGTTTGTGTTCTGAGGCAGCAAACTGGTTTTTTCCAGACTTTAGGAGGACAGCAGCTCCTCAACCTCTCAGTCTAATCTGTTTTATCTGCTGGTGAGACACAAGGTGTATTTATACACTGAGCAGCTGGAGCACATCGGTTTCCATTCTTATCAAACACAAATATTTACCACAGGCCTGACCCAAGGTCTGCTGAGATCCACAGTACTCCTGAAAATACAACTTAACAAGGGCAAACTTCTCATTTTTTTTTCCCTATTTCATTTTAGTTGGGTTATAGGATATTTTTTTAGCAGCCAAATATCTTTTTTTTTGAAATCAAGTTAAAAATCAACACGTGACTTCTTTGCTTTACTCACCAGCTCAGTTGTGCAGACTCCCTAAGATGCCTCCTCAGCTGTAGTGCCTGTCAGGGAGGAAACCATGAAGTGTTTTGATGGGAATTGTCAGTGAGGAATTGAAATGCAGAAGTCAAGGAACAATCAGCGTTATTAAACTTTAATGGACACATTCCATATAAAAATATCACGTGTAAGGTGTAACAATTGGCAGGTGGTTGTTGAGCAGGAGAATCGTGGGTGCCTCCAAGGGCAGTGTCATGAGAAGAGAGCGTTCAGGTAGCCAGGCAGGGGAGTTTGGTGCAAGGAGCTATTTCTCTGCTGAATAACCTGAGGAATTTGGCAGGTTGGGAGCTTTGGAGAGCCTTGTCCTCTGCAAGCCTCAGCCTCAAAACAAGAAACGTTGGTTTTGTGCCTCCTTCTCTAATTTCACATGTGATGGCATCACCTGATGTCTGCTTTTCCCAGTCCTTTCACAACCCCTGGCAGCGACTGCTTGGTGATGGGGATTCAGGGGATAAGGTGTGTCACACCCAGTCCCTGGCTGAGCAGGATTGTTCCCACATTGTCCTGAGAGTGGAGAGTGGGACAAGGCACCCGGAGCTGAGGATGCTCCCAGGACACCCTCTCTGGGGTGCTGCAGAACACGCAGCGCTCCTCAGAGGACTCAGACAAAACAAGAGCAAAACGATTAGTCTGGGATAAAAGCTGTGGGGGAAACCAACAGTTTTTATCTCATAAATATAAATATTTGTGTCCAGCAGTTGCCATTGAGATAGGGTGAGCTGCCTGTTGAATTGGTTACAGGAAGGATTGCTTTCAACCCCTGTCACTGCCTGGCTTTGGGCAGGACCTGTCCCCCACCTCCAGCCGCTGGTTTCAGGCAATAGCAGTGATGTGAGTCTCCTTGTGGCAGGAGGTGAGCGAGTCCCTGTTACACCTCCAGTAGAGTTTAGGAGTGCAGCAAAGCACCATAGACATGACCAAGCCCAGAACGAGCACGAGGCAGATGACCCATTTTACCAGCCCAGAGTACACGAACGGGAGGATGAGGATGGTGAGGATCACCACGAGCAGCAGGAGCAGCACGAGTCTCTGCACAGCCAGCCTGTTGTCCGCAGGGACGTTCTCCTCTCTGCACAACACATCGTGGCCGCTCCGAGTCCAGCTGTTGCCATCCAGCCCCGGGGCAGGGACGTGTCCCTCGGGGTTGGGAGGGGGCTTTTCCAAGTGCTCCATGATCTCTTCTTTATCCTGCAGCGTGCGGATGAGTCCTCCCGGCACCGGCGTGGCCGCCCTGCAGAGGGGGCAGGTGAGGGTCCAGGCGCCCTCCTCCCTGCGCAGGATGAGCTTCAGGCAGATGGCACAGAAGGCGTGTTGGCACGCCAGCACCTTGGGCACTCGATGCACGCTGTACTTGTTGAAGCAGACCAGGCAGTCCATGTCCACGGGGGCTGAGGCTGAGCACGGGGTGTTCCTTTCACACCCACAGGCTTGGGGAGAGAGGGGGTTCGTCGGCGTCGCGAGGGGCGGCGAGCATGGATGGTCTGCTTCCAGAATCATGGATTTAAAGGCATCAGGAGTGCCCTGCTCTGTGCTTGAAGGTCTCTCTGTTTCCTTAGCTTGTTCTGCAGTGAGTTCCAGGCTCTTCACAGGGGTCTGTGTGAGGGGTCCTGCTTGGCTCACCTCCGCCGTGAGCACGGGACTGTCCTCGGGGTGCGGCGCCCTGGGGCCTGTCTGGCCCTTGGTGCTGGGCTCCTCCATGGGGGTACCTCAGTGTGGTTTGTCTGCCCCTGGCTGAAAGACTCACTCAGCTTGTGCCTCCTTTTATGTGCTGCTTTAGTCCTGTCCCACGGGTGATTGATGAGTGACAGCTTCCAGCGTGTTGTGCTCTCACAGTATGATGTTTTTATGAGTCGGGGACCTGAGTTGATCATTAACTTTGTGGCCAAGACGTTTTACAACGAGTGATAACATCACTGAGCCTTTCCTGGCCGGATGCAGACCCTGGGGCATGAGCAGGCTGCAGCTTTGTTCACTGGGAGAGCCAGACACTACCAATATTACCAGATTCACCCTTTATTTGTTAAAAGCAATTTCACTGGTCTCCAAACCGTGCTTTGCTGGACAGGGACAGATTGGGAGGAATTAGTGAATCTGGAGATTGTTGTGCTGAATAGCCCGTGCTGTTACCCTGCAGCACAAAGTGAAGAACCAGACTGAGATTATTGAGTGGTGAATCCTCAATTATTAGCAACTCTTTTATCTCAGGAGCCTCACTCTTGGTTTCAGTCCTCAGAGAGCTTCTGGTGTGAATTCAGCATGAGTCAGGGTCACGTTGGATCTCACTGAGTCTTTCAGAGAGATCTGGAAATTAAAAGCAAGGTTAGTGTCGTGGTGGGACCATCTTCTGTTTCATGGTGCTGACAGGACAACCTCCTGCACTCAGGAGTGCACTTTGCTGAGGTGGGTTTGTGAATATTCAGGTCATTTGAAAAACAAATGCCTGAACAAAATCCCTCACTCTCTTAATTTCTCTCTGCCTGTTCATTGGAGGGGTAACATACAGATGGAATTTTACAGATTCCATGGTAAGAATCCTGTGGAAGGAAGAAATAGTAGAAAGGAAGGGTGGCTAATCCCAGGGAGAGGGACTAGGTCAGTGCTACCAGTAGAAGACACCCAGTCCTGAGTCATGGCCTCAGGTGCACCCGAGTGCTTGAGCTGTGTGTGCTGCCATGCACCAGCCTGTCCCTCCACCAGAAAGAGGTGAAACAACGGCCATGTAGGAGGGCAGGGAGTTCAGGAAGGGTCTAATCTCATGAACTTGCTGCAAGGGGGGGGGATGAGGTGAGAAGAGCTTGTTCTTTGCTGAGGAACAGGAGAAGGTTTGACGTAAGCAAACCTGGTGCAAGGGTCTGGGCGTCGCTGTGGTGTTTCTGCTTGCGTGGCATGTCGTGGGGTTTGACAGACTTTTGGGGACCCCAAATCTTAGGAGCCTGTTGGAGGTGTTCTGTTGAAGAAGTGGGACTCGCAGTTGAGGTGCAAGAACATCTGGAGCAAGCTGGTGAGCTGCAGGGCTCCTTTAGGTTTAAAACTTGGATCATTTTCTCTTGCATTTCACATACCTCTTTGTTAGTGAGTTTACACTGCTAAAAAGACAAGACCTGGGAAAAGAGGAGACAGAGCTGCCATTTTTACAGTGCTTTAAGAGTTTCCAAATTAATTGTTGGGGTCTGTTAAGAAAAGTGTGACCAGCAGGTCCAGGGAGGTTCTCCTCCCCTTCTACTCTGCCCTAGTGAGGCCAAATCTGGAGTATCGGGCCCAGTTCTGGGCTCCCCAGTTCAAGAGAGACAAGGAACTACTGGAGAGAGTCCAGAAGAGAATCTGAGATTCCAAACCTGCCTGGATATGACCCTGGGCACCCTGCTGTGGGTGAGCTGCTGGAGCAGGGGGTTGGAGGAGATGATCCCAGAGGTCCCTTCCAATCCCACCACGCTGGGATTCAGTGTGATTCCCATGTGCAAAATAGAAATGTCTTCAAATGTGCAGTTTATTAATTATTAGAAGAGTATGAAACTGGCTTGCAGTTGTTGGGAAGCTGGAGCAGACACCAAGAGGGGCAACTACACACCAAACTTTAAAAGTTTAAAGGTGGAACCTCATCCCCTTGGCCCATCCATCCAGCCTGGCTTGGTCCCTCTGCAGATCCTCCTACCCTTGGTGTCAGGAGTCATGCAAGGTGTCCTTACCTGAGTCACCCGTGGCCCTTTAATGCTGATTGGGCTAATTACTGTGGGATTAATCCCTGGCAGTCCTGTTCCCAGGCTCATCCTGCTTTCCTGCTTCCCACGTGTTTGCACAAGCAAACGTCTTTCTGCAGAACACTCCCGTGGACTGGTTTATGACAGGAAATGGAGATAAAAGAGCAGTTGGGTTGCTTTGGAGTTAAACCCCTCACTTGCTGTAGGGCTTTGAGCACAGTAATACCCAGAACCCCCCAGAAGATGCTGTTGATAGACCCAGGACCTTCCTTCTGTCCTCAAGCCCTGCTTCAGGTTGGTGTGAGTCCAGACAGGAGGACCTGAAAATAAAACTTGTTGTGATATCAAGGCTCTTGTGCTATCCTGTTACCCTGTGTACATGTGAGCAGAGTGGAGAGCAGAGGCAGAGTCACAACATGTTGTCTGGTGGGGTCTGACCACAGCTGGCTCTTCACAGTACCTGCTGAGTGAAGCAGGCTGAGGGACAACCTGAACTGTCCTCACTGCAAGAAGGACCTTGAGGGGCTGGAGCGTGGCCAGAGAAGGGCAACGGAGCTGCTGGGGAAGGGTCTAGAGCCCAAGTGTGGGGAGGAGCAGCTGAGGGAGCTGGGGGTGCTGAGCCTGGAGCAAAGGAGGCTCAGGGGAGACCTTCTGGCTCTGCACAGCTCCTGACAGGAGCCTGGAGCCAGGGGGGGGTCGGGCTCTGCTCCCAAGGGACAAGGGACAGGACAAGAGGAAATGGCCTCAGGTTGCTTCAGGAGAGGTTGAGGTTGGACCTGAGGAACAATTTGTTGCCCTGGAGGGTTGTCCAGGGCTGTGCCAGGCTGCCCAGGGCAGTGGTGGAGTCCCCACCCCTGGAGGGTTTTCCAAGCCGTGGAGATGTGGGGTGAGGGACACAGGGCAGTGGGGACCTGGCTGTGCTGGGTTTAAGGGTTGGACTCTGATCTTCAAGGTCTTTTCCAACCGAAACAATTCCACGATTCTACGAAAAGTGAACAAATGGAGGGGGGGAAGTCCGGCGGGTGGTGGTGGATTCTTTAGCTGGTTCCTGTGGGGAG